GGGGTTTTGCAACCTCACGTGGTTTGAGATCTTACGAACCCCACCTGTTGTGGGAACGGGGCCCGACGAATACCCGTGGTTAAACGGACGGCGATAACAGGCGCTTCAAATCCGTGAAACAAAAAAAAAAGTGTGTGTATGTGAGCGTGATTGGAGGTATAAATACCACTTGGTATTTTATCTCATGTAAAACAGTAGGATTGTGAGCAGCAAACCTCTTGTGGATGCACAGGCAAGAACTCTCCACTCGAAAGAGTTGAAGTGAGAGTTACCACAACAGGTTCTTTCAATTGCTGGCCTACTGAATCAGATCTCCAGTTTCTAGGACTCCCTAGGAGTCGGCAAAACTGGTCCAAATTTTTACAAAAAAAAATGGGGAAATGAATAAGTAAAACTAAGCCAACAGACAGTCTAAAATCAAACGACTGGAAAGTTATTAAAGATCAGGATAAAATAAAACAAAAAAACAAATTCAAATAAAAATTGTACGAGGAAGGGTATGATGATGTACAATTTTGGTTAGAAGTAGCGCAAAAACGAGAAAGTGGGGAGAAAGAAATTACAAAAGAAAAGGAAAAGGTTCCAGGAGCCTTTTTCCAGGATGAGGAACAAGTGTTTTATGAGGACAGGAGAGGAAGAGAAGGCTTTAGGGGCAGAGGTCAGAACCTTAGAGGTTTAAAAGGGAGACGTGGGAGAGGAAACTACAGGCACAGTTACTCGGGGTGCTGGTGTTGCGGGCAGGAAGGACATTTAGCCAGAAATTGCCCAAGAAAAGAAAACAAAAAAACACAGGACAGTCAGCATGATTAAGATCAGAGAAATTGGGGAGTGAAGAGGTCCAGTTAAATCTTCAGGATTTACTTTCTATGGACAGCATAAGACCTGAAATAACTCTCCTAATAAATAGCAAACCTGTAAATTTCCTCTGTGACACGGGTGCATGTAGAACAACATGTAGAGAAAACATTCTTGGGGTAAAAATTTGTGGTGAAAATGTCAAGATCAACTACAGGAATAAAAGAAGGGGATTTCTTTGTTGTCCAGGGACACAGGGAACTGTATTACTTTTATTCATTGGATGTGCCCAACAAACCCCCACACAACACTGCACAAACACTTCTGGCAGAGGGGCATAAAGCCATTTCTGCCCTACAGGATCAAAAGTCTCCTGATGATTTGCATGTCACACTTTGGTTCAAAACAGTTCCTGGGCCTGATAGGAACTATGAAGCGAGACTCAACAAGGTCACCCCAGCCAAGATAACTGTGACCTATCTGTACACAGACACAAAACATGTGCCTGATCCACACACATTGTTGAATTCTCTTAGATCAGATGCAAAAGTATTCACGGTTGTAGACATCAGTAAATGCCTTTTTCTCAATACCAATTGAGAAAGAGAGCCAATTTTGGTTTGCTTTTACTTTTGAAGGGAAAAGATACACGTACACCAGACTACTTCAAGGCTACTGTGAAAGCCCTACAATTTTCTTTCAAGTAATGAGTGCAAGTATGTAAACTTTTCAACCCCCAGGAGGGAGCCAAGTTTTGTTGTACATAGTTGATGTTTTATTGCCTCTCCAGACAGGGAAACCTGTAAGCAAAACACTTTAGCGCTTCTGCAACATTTAGCTAAAGAAGGTCATAAGGTTAACAAAATTAAACTTTAACTGTGTAAACGACAACTAAAATATTTGGGTCATAATTTGAGTGAAGGAGGACGAACCATAGCGGAGGATAGAAAAATGACAATTCTCCAAGCTCCCAAACCACAAACAAAAAAAAAACAGATGATGTCCTTTTTGGGGTTGACTAACTATTGTCGAAACTGGGTGCCTAATTATGCAGAAATTGTGGCAGCTCTGAATAAATTAATGTAAAAAAGATTTTAAAATGTCTTCTTCTTTGTTGTGGGCAGATGAAGCAGAAGAAGCACTTTGCAAACTAAAACAGGCCCTCGTGTCAAGCGCTGCGTTAGCATTACCAGATTATCAATAAAAAAACCTTTTGTTCAGATGGTGGATTGTAAAGGTCATGTCATGACCTCGGTGCTAGTCTAACAGCATGGTGATAAAATGAGACTAATAGCATATTTTTCTTCAAAACTTGATAGTGTAGCGTGTGCCTTACCACATTGTGTGAGAGCTGTAGTTGCTGCTTCTATGGCAGTAGAAGTTAGAGCTCCTATAGTTCTTTTTCACCCATTAACATCAAAAGTAACACATGCAGAATTATTAAAAGAATTATTACAAGTCGTGCACCTACCAAAACAACTAGCAATCTGTAAATGTGCGGCGCACACTGCAGGGACAGATAAGGTGTCCCTAGGGAATGCTTTCGAAGACAAAATAATTAAAAAAAAAAAAAAGCAGCTGAGGGAGAGATAAATGTATTACATGTGGACGTAAAAATTAAATTATGAAAGAAACTTTAAGAGACATGCAACAATTAAATCCTCAAAATGAAAAGGATTTATGGATAAAAAAATGGAGCAAAGTTGGAAAATTATATGAAACTGAACCTTATTTACCAAGAAAAAGATGTGTATAAATGGGCTGCAATATTGAGCCATGGCGTTTCGCATGTCTCAACAGGGGGGATGTTAGGATACATCAACATTACACTACTTATGGATTTATTTCTTATTTAAAAAAAATTCTGTAGGACCTGTTTGATATGTGCAAAACATAACTCTCAGGGCAATCTAAGATCACTTAGAGGAAAGTTTCCTACTCTGCAATATCCATTTCAAGTAATGCACATGGACTTCATAGAATTGAATAAAAGTGAAGTATTGTTTAGAAATAATTGATGCTTTTCTAAATGGTTTGAACATTTCACTAAAAACCCAGATGCAGCGGAAAAGCCAACTTGGATACATTTAACACACTGCAAAAAGGAATTTAATTTCAAAAGTAATTGGGAAGCAAGCTCAAGACGCTCACCGACCTACAGGGCAAAGTCCAGGTTACAAAGGGGGTTAAACCAAATAGTTTTTCCGTCTCAAAACTGGTGAAGATTGTCCACAACCCTGTAGTGTCTTTAGGAGCAGAACGGACTTGCACATTAATGAAAATAACAAGCGAATATATCTTTGTTTTTATTTTGTGTTTTTCATCTGGGAACAATTCACGTCACGAATAAAAATGTTTTCTTGTAACACTGTTTACAGAATGAGGATGAGTATTCAGGTATGTTTTCCACCTAGTTCTGTTATCATTGTTTTAGTCTCCTGGGCAAGTATGACGTCGGCAAACTACAGAGATTAAACTTGATGTATGACAAATGATGTTTTAACACCGGACTGTTCTCTCTGTGAACAATGAATTTAACCCTGTCTTTCGTGCAGATGTCTGGTGGTGGTGCAGTGGTGACAAAATTTTTAATAGATTACCTAGGAAGGTAACAGGGATGTCTGCATTAATTTCTTTATTATTGCCTGTTTCTGTTTATCCTATGACTGCTGATCATTTAATTCATGCTTTAACTGATGTTGTGCCTCAGCAGTGACGTCAGTTGCAGAAACGAGACCTGACCTGGAGGAACAATGATCCTACATACATCAATGCCATTGGTGTTCCCCGTGGTGTACCAGATGAGTATAAATTGGCCGACCAAATTGCAGCAGGATTTGAGTCCACAATTTGTTGGTGGTGCACATTGAACAAAAACGTTGACAGAATCAACTACATCCATTACAATGTACAAAAACTGGGCAACTGGACACAGGCAGGCTTCGAGGCGGTGCATGAGCAGCTGACCGCTACATCACTGATGGCTTTCCAGGACCGTATTGCACTTGACATGGTGCTGGCTGAACGAGGGGGAGTGTGTGCAATCTTTGGTGAAAGATGCTGCACTTTTCAACCCAACAACACAGCGGCTGGTGGCAGCCTGACGAAGGCCATTGAGGGGCTCCGTACCCTTAATGGTAAGATGAAGGAGTTCTCTGGAGCGAATACTTCCAGGTGGGACGACTGGATGAATGTTTTTGGAAAGTACCGAACCCTTGTGTCTTCTGCTTTAGTGTCGATGGCAGTCTTTGCTGCCATTCTAACCTTGTGTGGATGCTGTTGTATTCCTTGCCTGCGTTCTTTGTTTAATCGTCTCATCACTACAGCAATTTAGCCCATGGGGGACCAGATGATGCCGATGTATACTTTACTAGTAAAAGATCCTGAGTCTGACAGAGAAAGCTCTGATGAGGACTCTTTTGATGTGTTTCCTGATTCTAAGTTTTGGACTGAGTATAAACCTTGAGTGTAAACGTGTTTGCTTTCTTAAAAATGAACTCCTAGTTGAAAATTGTTTGAAGTGGCTGTTTAGGAAGGATATGAGAATTAGAACAAATATTTGATAAACAGGGGGGAAATGTTGGAGAAATTGTGATATTATTAATCAATTATTTGTTATTCTCATTGATCTTTATAATGTATCTTTAATTGATGCTTTCCTTAAAGTTAATCTCATTATAGAATTAAGAATGTTTCTTGTATTGTTGATTTACTCTGATTCTTTTCTCAGAAGGCCTCACTGACAGAGAGCAGAAACAAAATCTTCCTGCAGGTTTACCTCTTGGTGAAGAGCTCTGCTTCGGTTGAGTTGCTGGCCTCCAATAAAACCATCATTGCTAAGATCACTACATATTTTATTAATCTTTGTGCCTGGAAGGACATTATCTAGTACAGAATGATTGTGTGTTAGTTAGTGAATAACATTTGACGCTGTAGCTGTTTGCCCCCTCCCTTTAGAGCTACAGCGTCCTTGTGATTAGGGATCCTAGAAACAATAAAATAGAGGAGCAGACAAAATGTGCTTCAGAGCGGTAGGAGATTGTAACTGAAGCACATCTCTGTCCGTTCTCCTCGCGAGTGAAAAAGAATCTAACTCTTTTGTCTTTTCTGTCTTTGTTAATGTATGTTTAACAGGTGTTAACCCTAACATAGTTGAACCTCAGATTCAGGAAGAGCAGTTTGGTTTTCGTCATAGTAATGGAACACTGGAACAGCTCTACACCTTCAGGAGGGTCCTGGAAGGTGCATGGGAGTTCGGCCAACTGGTCTACATGTGCTTTGTGGACTTGGAGAAGGCGTTCGACCGTGTCCCTCAGGGAGCCTTCTGGGGGGTTCTCCGGGAGTATGGGGTACCGGGCCCTTTGATACGGGCTGTCAGGTCCTTGTATGACTGGTGTCAGAGTCTGGTCTGCATTGCCGGCAGTAAGTCGGGCTCGTTTAGAGTGAGAGTTGGACTGTGCCAGGGCTGTCCTTTGTCACCGATTCTGTTCATTACTTTCATGGACAGAATTTCTAGACGCAGCCAGGATGTTGAGGGAATCCGTTTTGGTGGCCTCAGGGTTGCATCTCTGCTTTTTGCAGATGGTGTGGTCCTGTTGGCTCCATCAGTATGTGATCTGCAACCCTCGCTGGAACGGTTCGCACCCGAGTGTGAAGCGGTTCGCACCCGGGTGTGAAGCGGCCGGGATGAGGATCAGTGCCTCCAAATCCAAGGCCATGGTCTTGAGCCGGAAAACGGTAGAGTGCCTTCTCCAGGTTGGGGGGATGTCCTGCCTCAAGTGAAGGAGTTCAAGTATCTTGGGATCTTGTTCACGAATGAGGGAAGAAGGGAGCGGGAGATCGACAGGCGGATGGGAACAGCATCTGCCGTGAAGCAGGCGCTGTACTGGTCCGTCGTGGTGAAGAGAGAGCGGAGCCAGAAAGCTAAGCTCTTAATTCACCGGTCAATTACTGCAATTACTAAACTATTAGCTGTTATCTTGACACAGGAAGTGGGCTCGCAAAAATAAAAGTCCTTTACTAACTGCGGGTTACAATCGTTGTTGAATCTCTTAATAAGATAGTAATAATGTGAAAAGTAATAACAGTCGTAATGGTTTATGAGAAAAGAAATTGATTAAATATAACCACAGCAAAAGCATGTTTTTCTATAGTGACCAAATGTTCAATCAACATTTGGTAAACGTTCATTCATGAACTCTGAACATTTGACTTTGAGGTAATGTTCACTGAACATTATTTGTTCATTGAACATCATCTGCTTGCTGGGTTATGGGGCAACACAGAGCATGGAACCAACACATGCACAGGGGGGACAAGATGCAGACGTATTTCACGAAGGTCCCACCATGCAGCTCTTATTCCATCCACTTAGAGTCATCAATTGAACTCACTTTTGTGATTTTGGACCCAAATAGCAAGGAACTTTCAGACAACGTCCCTTGAATGTAATCCTGAAATGAAACACCATAAAACATTGAGAGGATTAGGATTATGCAGTTCCTTGTTGTTTCAGGTCCTCCAAAACAAGATCATTTTTGTGATTTTTGGACCAAGTGGGGGAAGCCAGAGCACCTGGAGGTAACCCACACATGCACAGGGGATAAATTGCACACTTAATGCAGAGAGACCCCATTAAGCAGCCATACTTTTTAAAAAGAAATCTAATAATTCTTGATTTTTGAAGAATTTAGATTAATCATTTGTTTGTAATTTTGGTCCTTGCTAGCAAAGAACGTTCAGACAACATCCCTTGCCAGCAGCGGCATTTATCATCATAAAATAAAACCTTCAGAGAATTAGAATGGTATGCTTCCCCATCATTCCAGGTCTTCCACAACAAGATCAGCAAGATTCACATGTAGAGTGCCTTCATTTCTGTCCTGGCCATCTGAGTTGACTGATTCAAGGTCCTCCAAAACAAGATCACCTTCGTTCACATACATAGAGTCTTCATTTATGTACTGGCCTTCAGAATTGAGTGAATCAAGATCTTCCAAAACAAGATCACCTTCATTCACATACATAGAGTCTCCATTTATGTACTGGCCTTCAGAGTTGACGAATTCAAGGTCTTCTGAAGCAAGATCACCAAGGTTCACATTTGTAGCGTCTTGTTTTGTGTTCTGTTGACTTTCGTGGGTTTCTTGTTCAGGATCTTCCAAAACAGGCTTATACGGACGCACCTGTATGAAAATGGGACGATACTTGCTCATTGACGACGCAAGGGCAGGATACATTCTGCACACAGTCCCAGAGACGACACTTTCTACTAGTGTTTGGTTTTCACACTCCACTGTTGGTATGCCTACGTTTTGAGGCTCTGGGGAATCCTCAAAGCGTCTGCTTCTATCGTAACTTACAGGAGATTCAATCGTGTTCTGGTTTTCAGAATGCACTGGTTCAAGATCTTCCAAAACAAGACCACCAGGGACCACATCTGCAGGGGCTTCACCTTTGTCCTTGCTTTCACCGTTGGTGGTGCTTCCCAAGTCTGAATGAACTTGTTTATGACAGAACATAGCAGAATTGACATTTTTGCGGGTGCTTTTCAGAGCACTTCTCAGATAGTTTTTTGGGAGATTAACTTTTCTGGGATGTGTCAAAGTTCTTTTGAAACAAGCTACAAGTTTGTAGTCAACAATTGGGTGGTTCATTTTCATGAGATGGAAAAGCCTATCTCTTACAACGTCCTCGTTTCCACTTAGAAGTTGGAAGATGTCTGAGCCAACTTTTCTGTCCATCTCTGGGAAAATGATAAAATCTAGATCCTTCAGTTCTTCCCACAGAACTCCAGAAAGCCTCTCGTAGACGGGGATAATGTCCTTCCGTAGATAATATGTGGTAGATCTTTGACTAGCCTTACGAATCAGTTTCCAAAGAATTTGATTTATCATTTTTCTCCGTTCATCTGTTCCATGTCTCATTCTTTCCTTTCCCGCCAATCTTTTCGCATTAGGATAAGTAGACTTCAAACAATCCTTACTCAAGCAGTTCTCTTCTGCATACAAGCCTTCTGCATCAAACAAAGTGTCTTTAAGCTTTGTTCTTACAGATGATAGGTTCTTCATGTTGGTGGATTCTTGAGGAATGGGATTCTCCAGGTGATGCTTGAATTCTTGCACTATCCTTGGATATGACCCTGGATTGGAAAGGATTGCAAACAAATGCAATTCTCTTGCAAGGTGGAAAGAATCACTGGCGATGCTCTGAAAGATTCTTTCACTTAGGTCTTCTGACATTCCTGGCAGAATGTCCAGATCCAACTTCCCAGTTTCTGCCATAATTTGGCATAAGAGCTCACCCTGGGCGTTCTCAAAGGTTTCTCTGACGAGGGACACGGTTGGTTCATCCGCGACTTTCTCGATCACCTGCCACAGAAGGTCGTTGAGAAAGTCCCTTTTCAAATACTCAGGATTCCTCGTGGGACGAATCTTTTGGAATTGATTTTTGCATATGTCCCGAAAGGACGTCCACTTCTTAGGCATCGTCTCCATTTCGAGCTTGCTACCAATAATAACTACACGTCTGTCACTCACAAAAAAGACTTGCCTCTGAGTTCTGTGCTAGAATTGTACTGTACATAAGGATGATTTAGTGATGTCATAGACTCTGTGACATCACCAATCATTGTCTGAAGAGAATGTGGCCAGAGTTAAAAGGAATATAAACAGTCAGAAATGCTAACACATTTCACAACATGTTCAATGGCCAGGAAGCAAAAATCTGAATTCTTAGACTTAGATTTATTTTATTGTCGTTGCACAAAGGCACAACAGTGAAACTGGCAGTGAAACGTCATCACTATTCTGTATAAACTAAAAATGAGACAGCTCAAAGTAGAATTGAGTAAATAAACATCTACACAATTAAAAACATTTGAGCAATTGATTATAATAAAAATAAAATATATTGTCAAATAATTTTTGATAAACAAATCTGCAACTTTTTTCCAGCAATTTCCATTTCACACTCCAGTCCAGTTGGTGGCAGTAATGCGCTTTTATAGTTGGTTGGTAACCGCCATTAAACTCCAGAAGATGTGCACTGGCGCTCAAGCCATCGTGAACGAAAATGTCCGTGCTTCGGGTGAAATGGTGGAAAAAGTATTATTTTACGGAGTTACTTTTTCAGTATTGTATTGATATTAAAGCCATGTCCCGGAGGAAAACAACAGATGACATCACAGTGCTCCAACAAGGCTGAACTCACGGAAATAAAGCTTTTATATAAATAGCGACCCTCCATGTGCAGCCCAATCATAATTAGTTTCTTACAGAAAGCGGTCTCTCGTTTTCATAATGCCAGAACAATTGTAGGGTGATATTTTTTGTTGTGTTTTTTTTATTATTATCATCATTACATCTGATGTTCTGAACTGTTGATAATACTCGCGTCTTCTTTTATTATTTTTTTTTCAAATGGCCCAGGCTGAACAGAGGTCTGAGGCCTCTGACCTCAGACCTCTGACCTCTGGCCTCAGACCGAGGCGCTTCCGGAGTCCATGAGGACGAAGTGAAAGTCAGTGAGTTATGATTTAACACTTAGTGGTGAACATTCACATATTTGTAAGCAAAACTGAGATTCCGGTTATTATTCTATTTCTTTTGTTATCAGGCAGAGTGTGGTGAGCAGAAGAGATCGACAACATGGCGGACATGATCTTCAATAAGAGAATGGGAGGATGAAGCCGGTCTGGATTATGTTCACTCAACCAGCCAATGCATTATGATTGCTCAATGGCTGGTTGACTGATGCACTAAGAGTTCAACACTTCACAGTATGCGATGTCATCCATGCAGGATGTGGACGACATCCTGTGTCCAGGATGTCATCCAGATGTTGGAAAAGAAAGAAGCAGGTAAAATTTATTGAATTTAGTGATGTCATGATTCCTTGATTGATTCAAGTATCATGGTGGCACATATGTGTTTCTGTGTGTGATGATGGAGCCGAATCCTGTCGCTAACTTGGACACAAAAGCTATAAATGAAAAAGGTTGTCATACTCTTTGCCTCACACATTTTTTAATCATTAATTTTAATAATTCCTATTGGTTCCCTTGGAAATAATAAAAACTTGGATGTCAATCAATAAAATCAATGGCATGTTATGTTTCCACTTCATAACCTGCTTCGGCACAAACTACACATCATATGCTACATTCTATGCATGTATTTTTCTTCTGAGGATTTTTGAGTGCTTTTCTTTTTTTTTCTTCCAATTTTTCTGAGTGTTTTCTGTTCTTGTTTTTCTTTAAAGTTGTTTTATTTTCTCTAAGAATGTAGTAATAGGATGATTTTTTTAGAGTTGGTCCCACTAATTAAGCTGGGAGTTGCCACAAAATTTCACTGTAGTTTCATTATGACAACAAAGATGCCTGCAGCTCATAATGATTGTCTGTTCTGTGTTCACAGCTGATGGAGGAAGGCAGAGAGTACTGGCAGCAGAGGAGGTGGCATTCTGGGATGATGACACCTATGAGGGGGCGTCAGGACAGACTGTGGTGAAGTGGAAACTCCAAGTTCCCCCAGCCAGGAGCTCAGTGACCTCAGGTCTCCACTACAGGAGAGACTGAACGCAGATTAGATGGAAAGTGTAGCGCAATGTTGGATAATGTTTGGACAAGAAATTACCGCCAGATGGTGCAGAAGTGAACAATCACTTGCGTCTTATTTTGTGTGGAAACATTGAAAAAATAAAACGAAATAAAGGGAAAAAAAACTTCTGTGCTTCATTAATGTTCCTCATATATGAACATGTTGCATATAAGCAATATCATATGAATATATTTCATGTATTTTTATCTAGATTTTTTTAACACAGCATTAAAAATATTTTGTTCATGTTCCAAGCATGTTTATTCTTTATTTAATAGCTATAATACTGTACACAAAACACTGTTTGATGTGTTTCTGTGTGCAGATTAGATGGAAAGTGTAGTAAGTTCTTCAGACACAGACTGAATTCTAATCTTCAATAACACTTTGAATCCTAGTTAAACCTTCAACCCTGCAACTTTGCATGTATTTGTTCACCGTGCGCGAAACACTGCTTTACCAGGACGAACAATGAAAGCAAGTCTGGGTCACAGAATAAAAGAAGCACATGAGGCATACGGTCAGGAGCAGCAGCAGCAGCATTTTACAACAACAGACTTTTGCAGACTGGTGTCAGTGTAAACACTCATGGCCTGTTTTTTCAGGGCTTAGTCCATTGAAAGCTTATCTCTGGTGGAAGGGGAGGCGGAGTGGATCAGCATAAGTGAAAAAGGGGAAGAAAGATAGACTCCCTCAACGCGTGGACTGAAAGGGACATCCGTTCAACTGCATAGTATGTTTGTTTTCGTTTGATCTCTGGGCTGTTTTTTTTTGTCTCACTGTTTTTGTTTAATCCTTCCTGTTCCTCTCTCCTGTTCACAGGAAACAGACATGCATGTACCCAAGGCCTCTGACCACATGTTCAACCTTTTCTCATCTGACCTGAAAAGGTTTTTCTTCAAGCAAGCCTCCATGTTGTGCAGCAGAGTCTGGTGAAGACAACCCTCTATATTTCTGAGCTCCCCCATTAGAAAACCACAAAAGAGCAAAATACAGACTTTTAATTTGAATACATGTATGTAAAGAGGGGGGAAAATTACTTTTTTCAATTTCTACTTTACTGTTTTTGTTATCCTACTGTTGACAAATGTTTAACCCATACTGTCCCGTTTCCTTGGTGTATCAATCTATAACTCAATTAATCATTCGTGTTTATTGATGTTATGGTAACAACGATCATTTGGGCATCATCTGACATAGACGTAGCGAATAAAATCTCAAAAGTACAGGTAGAAGTGCAAAATCAAAATCCCAGCAAACATAAATGGTTTGGGGGGGGAAAAAGTTTCTTCTGTCTGTGTAACTGTGAACTATTCTTTGTTCTCAGGACTGGAGGTTCAATAAATGTATTAACAAGGCATGACAGGTTATTTAAAGGCTTTAGTACAAACAGGAAGCACTCTGAAAGTTTCATGGTCAGCGTTGCAGAAGCCTGTTTGCTGATTGGCATTTACCCATAAGAGCTGATCTGTTGTCCATATGCTGAAAAGCTGAAACAAGTGTGGACACCACACACACACACACACACACACACACACACACACACACACACACACACACACACACACACACACACACACACACCCACAGCCACCCACACACACACACACCCACAGCCACCCACCCACCCACACACACACACACACACACCCACACACACACACACACCCACCCACCCACCCACCCACACACACACACACATACACACATGCATGCACACACACACACACTGACACCACTGACAGTTCTCTGCTTCCTGTGGGACTTTGCTTACAGACCTTACATCCGGTTCCTTTTTCAGTGGAACATTTTGGCAGGTCATCTCTGTTCTTTAGTTGAGGAAGCAATGGACTTCCTGACATCCTGGACTGTTAGTGGCCCATGTCAGTCAAGGGTCACCCATCCTTCCTGGCTGCTTATCCTTCCTTTTGTGAGTTAATATTTAGCGTATCAACGTCTGACATAAATTTATTTGGTTTCCAAACTGCATCCAAACATTTGTCAAAACTTTGGTATTTGATAGTGTCTCTGTACTACAGTATTTTCATAAATCTCAAAATGTCCAATTTCAAAAAAAAGAAAAAGAAAAAAAGACTGTTGTGAAAATCAATACAAACCCTCCATCAGAACACCGGTACCAGAAGAAGCCTTTAGCTTGGCAAATAAAGACTCAGCAGCTACTACGACACCGGGGTGTAATAGTGCACCAGCTTCTGAATATGTGAGCCAAACAGTTTATCATTATGTTGGACCTGTAGACATAACTGTTCTTTCCAATGTGACATTATTTTATCAATAAATGATTTTTTTTCCACAAAGAAACGGTGCTTTATTATCAAAATTAGAAATGAATAGAACAAATATTAAAATCTCATTAAATGTCAACAAGCATGCTGAATAAAAACAATGATGTGTTTGAACTCCCAACTCAAGAAATTTCAATTATACCATCAGCTATGTTCTGTTGATAAAAACTTTTGCCAAAGATTTGTCATTTTCCTAAAAAATATGTATTTACAGTGCCCACCACATTTAGTAGCACTCTTGGTAAAGTCGCATTAAAAATGTCTTATGTTTATGAAAACCGCATCTTCTCCTTCCCATTTTGAAATATGGTGGACGATGTGAGATGCAGTGAGTGAGTTTTCTCATCCAAAGTTTATAGAGTGCAGAGCTTTGCGAGTTCTCTCAGAATGTAAATACAATTCTGATGAAATTGGGCCACTGGGTTGCTCAACTGTGCAATGTGGCTGAATCAACTCAGAAATGGTTCACCAGACACAAAATCAACTTCGTCCATGCCCGACTCAATCCACAGAGTTACACTCGGTAGAATACCTGTGGTGTGAGCTGAAAAGAATGGAGAATATTTAAGAACATAAAATTTGGTTTAGCATTGTATCATATTAAAGAGAGGATAAGAGTTGTCTTATTGGTAGGAGAAAGTATGCAAAGCATTGAAAGCAGGAGTGCCAGTAATATTCCACTGTTAATTTAATTAAAAATCTATTGTTTACTTTTTCTAGGATAATTTCCCTTCTTTATAGAAAGAGTCCTCACATATACCAGGGCTTTGTGCCAGTGTGGCCATTACTGTACATACTGAATGGAGGATGAGAAGAATCACATGGAACAAGTGATTCACAGATCTGGGAATACTTTCGTTAAGATGGTTTGACTAAGAGGCTTACAGAGTCACGTAAACATGCTTATCAGCTTGAACTCAGGGTTCATGGAAAAATTTCTGTTTGATTTCAACAACTTTAAAACCACCACTTCCAGGCTGGCTGAGGTTCTAACTACTTTCGTAGTCTCAGTTGGTTTCTTGCTTGATGTCCGGTGTAAACCCTCTCACACTCCAGCCAGGTGCCTTGACAGGATCCCCGGCTGATCCAGAGAGAACGCGACTCCCTCTAAGAAATGAGTCACTGAGTCATTGGCTCCGTCTCTCTCCATGTGTGCGTACAGTCATGTGTTTGGCACCAAACCTCAGGAGCTTCTGGTTAATAGTTTTTCGTGTAAGCCTGTTGTCACAGCCGGACTAGTAAGATGCCAGGACGTCACACATGGCTTGTTGTAACAGGCTGTGCCTTCTCACACAGCAAACGTACCTGTAAGCCAGTTGCTTTCTTCAAGTACGGCTATGGGCCGAAGAAAATGTAAAGATCTGACTTCAGTCACACTTGTCTCATGTGTGATGTTCAGCACAGATTGGAAGTGAATGAGATGGACAGCGTCTCAACCAAAACCCAATGAGGACAAGACTAAATCATATTGGCAGGACATCGGATCCTGCCTGTGATATTTTTCCATCCACTATCAAAAGTCGTTTGCTTTGCTTGATTTCGATCAAGACATGTACATTTTTGCTGATATTTAATGTTTGGTGCATTGGACCCTCCAGTGCGCAGGTCACTACTGACACAAAACTTGCGGTGACATTGCAGAACCATTGTATCCTGTGGCGTTTTCAGCCGTTGGTTGCTCCTTTTGTTCTTCTTGATTTCGTTGGTAGTTTCATCATGTAGAGCAGCGGTCCTCCAGCGGTCCTGCCGTACATGATTCAAATGTGTCTCTGCTCCAAAACACCTGGTTCAAATTATTGCTTGATCTCCTCTGCAGCCACCAAATGCCACAGAAGCCTGTTAATCTCCCCTCCATTTAAGTCGGATGTTTGGAAGCAAGGAGACGCCTTAAACATGCCGGACTGGGGCACTTGACCTGGGGACCAGGTTTGGGAACAAGTGATGTAGAGGAACCCCACCAATGAGACGGACATTAACTCTAAACCCTTGGGTATGTTGCAGCTTGATCAACCGTGTTGTTGGTCTTTAAGATGTAAAGAAAGACAACAATATCAGTGTGTCAAAGATGTCATAGTGTAATAGGATAAACTACTCAAAGGACTTGATTCACCAAAGATGTCAAACTGGACTGTTGAATCTAACTTCTCTTCCCAGTGAGTTCAGATATTTAAACGCTCACATTTATTCAGCGGCCATTAAAACCATCCATTGTGAGAAGCTCCATCTGAAGGTCGGACAGATGGGAGGCCATTTTGTGGACAATGTTGGTTGAGATATCTTCAGCCATGGCATCTCAGTATTGATAAATCACATCTCTGACTGTAGTTTGGTGGCTGCACCTTTAATAACTTTTGCTTTGTACTCCTACCTCCCCTTATGAGGTCAAGTAAAAATGCATCATCATTGTTGTTGTCCTCGGAGGGCAATTCTTCTGAGTGGTTACTGCACCATACGGGAACTTTCAGTTTTTGTTTAGTGTTTTTGGTGTCAGCTCCATCAAGTCGCCCATAGTGAAGCCCACTTCCTACTACAGCAGGACCTCCTGATGTCCTGACCCTGACCCTTCATCTCTTTCTCCGTCTTTTATCCCATCATCCTCTTAAAGTGTAATTAAGTGAATCTTCGAGACACCTGTTAGGTCTCACTCTGCTGATAGGCTTTTGTTTGACTTTTCAAAACTCCTTCCAGAGAAAGTTCTTTTAGTAAATCAGTATGTTGATGAATTAAGATCTAAAAATATCTTGAGTTTTCTTGTTTTTAGAAATGTGCAGCCTTTAAGCCATGATTTTTGATTTCATAGACCTTA